TTTTCCTGCCTTTCCCCTTTTCTGCGGGTGCGTGGTTAATTGCAAGGGGGAGGATGGCAGACCTTATCTCTTGTGACTAGTGGTGGCAAAACTGAGGAACTGTTTTCATTACCAGGTGGAAGGCTTTTCACATGCAAATGATGGAGATCATTGTGAATGTGGCATTTTTATTAATCCAAACCACCTTATCTGACCAAAGCGAAACTAAGATCTTTCTTGTTTTATATCAAACATTTTGCTCTGACAATGGCGAGTTGTATTTGATGAAATGTTGCATGAATTACACCGTCTTTGCAAATTACTGCAGGAGAGAAAGAAATAGAAAGAACTAATGGATGGGGTTGGGCTTGGGGATATTTGGGTGTGGGTTTACTTTCTTTTTCTCTCTTTCTGTTTAGGACACTTCTAAATGCCAGTCAAATGATGCCAGTTTACGTAAGTGCTTTAACTTCTCTTCTTCAACATCAAAGGAACTGATCTGGTTTTATAGATGTATTTTTGTCTCTCTATTGTGTGCACTTCCCCTTCAGACACTGGGAAAATAAGGTCACGCTCCCTACTGAGCCATCCTTTTCTATTGATTTTACTTTCTCAAAATCCTAATAGAGCTTGAAATTAATACAGTTTAATTTTCTTCTGTCTTCCTTGTGAACCCCCATAGCTTTTTTGTTGGTGCTACACCACTCTGGGTATGAAGAGAATGATAGACTTGAAGTCTTCCTTCCTATGGCAAAAAAATCCCTGAAAATAGAGAACCAGGAGGGTTTTGGCCCTTTTTCCAATGAAGTAAAGGCTCTCCCTTCCAGCCTGAGGAGCAGGGAGGCTTCTTCACTCAGTTCAACAGGGGACAGATCACAGAATGTTGCAGACCCCTCTAATGTGGCTAAATCCAAATTCACCAATGTTTAAATGCCTGTGCTAAGGCTACATCTCAGTGCTGTCTGCTTCTCAAAAAGGAACCATATTCATATCCTCCTGCCCATGAGAAACAATTTGTCCAGCATTGGCAGGGGGTTGGAACTAGATGATCTTAAGGTCCTTTCCAACCAAAACCATTCTATGGTTCTATATGGGAGTCCTTTAGTAGACTTCTACAGGAAGCAGGTGAATGCATTCTAGTAATGGACCTAGCTGCATTGGGATCCAGCTGGAAAACATCTACCCAAGGGTAAATAAAGCCAGGTGAGGAGACTGACAGCTCTGGAAGGTGCTTGGTGATTACCAGTGTTTCTTCATCTGTGAGCAAAGATGCTGGATTGCTATGCTCCAATCCCTTGTTCTGCACAGAAACCATCAAGAGCATTCAGGAGAAAATGGAGGGCATCAAACCTGCTGAATCGGCATCCTTCTTTCCTGCTAATGAACTTACTGTGGGGGAAAAGACACTTCACATGCCTCAAGAGTGGCCTGACTTTCATGGGGGAGACTTTTCTTTGGGGAAAGCACCTAGAAGCAGGTTCGTTGCCAATAACGAGGCAGTGAAACATGACAACCTGCTTAATACAGGCTCCCATTTGTCATGCCCATTCGTCAGAGTACTGTTCAGCTGTATAAAATGGGCTGTAAACTTTGTTCATTTGGGCTGACAGGTATGAGGAAGGCTATGTGTATATTATGGTGTTACAAACTTGATGGAGAAAGGTCCCCTGAGACTTCTCACTGCACCCAGCCTTCTCATTCGTCACAGTATGACAAAGACCTCATGGGTCATCTTCTCTGTCCCTCCTTTGCTTGTTCAGGAGCCACTGCCTTTCTCAATAACGCTTCTTACATAGGTTAAAAGCATTTTAAATATGTATTATTTTTGCACTCCCTGTGTATCTGTGCCTTTCATACCCACATCTTAAATTCATCACCTCTCTGCCAGTTGTTTGTAAATGTCCCAAGGTGTTTAACTCTTATTCTCTGAATCCTCTGAGCTATTGTTGGTGAATGTGGCTGTTACATATTCCTGATATTTCTCAAAGGTCAAAAAGAAAATGTAAAATGCCATTTCTTTTCTCTTCCCCCTTCAAAGCAGCAACATGCAATATTGTTCTGGTGCACTTACTTTTGCCTTTATGCCAAGATATTTTTTTTTAACTACACGTTATTGTATTTACTGCAAATGTTCTGGATACAGAATTATTTCCTCAAATTATTAGGAAGTAGAAGATATAATAGCCTTTTATTCTGTTTCAGGACGTATTACTCTAGCACAACAGTCTATTTGCGACAGTTTGCTCTCATCTTCCTGCAACCCATCTTACAAATGAGACATAAAATTGAGGCTCTGGACGCTTACAGACCCAATCCTGCAACATTTACGCACCTGTTTAAATCTGAATCATGTGAAGATTCATAGCGAATGGAATGTGCAGGATGACTAACACTTGAGGAACTACAGCAATTTCTCCAGAGCAGTTTTGCAGTTCTTCAGGATAACGAGCAGCGCATGAAACAAGGGTGCATTATTTCCTCCCCAAGTCTGGCCAGGATGCTGTAAAGGATGGACTTGGAGTGAATGCAGACTAAAATGTCCTCTCCTGCAGTCAGTACCTATTATATTCATTTCTTTCTACCACTACGGTAGGACTCCTGATCGTGCAGAGCTTAGTACAACAAGATCTGTAGGTTTTCATCTCAGAGTTGCACTTGCTGATGTTATACAGACTCGTTAATTGATTACACAATAATTCAGCAAGCTGCTCTGTTCCTGCATCTCCTATATTGCTTGCTGCCTCCTCACTCACAACCAGTTGTTCTTCAAGGTCCTGGTCCCTGTGTTTGAAGCCTGATCAGCTGAAGAATGACCTTTTTCTCTGACCTACATCTTTCAGGGGAATACAGCAACAGATGACACCAAGTAGAGGATTCAGAGAGCTCTTTGTGCAATCCCTAGCAGCAGAGCTCTCCAATGAAGGGCATGAAGCTTAACTCCCAGCTTACCCTGCAAGGAGGGTTTTCATTTCATTTCAGTGAATAGCAGCATTTCCATTGACTTATGCAGGAACAGAGTCAATCCCAGCACGTCTTTTAAGACAAGCTACTCCTCAGCAGAAGCAGCATCTCAGCAGATAGGACGTCCCTGCTCCTGCGAGAGTCCTCATCCAGGCAAAGCAACTCCTACCACACACTGACCAATCCCCCCCACTTATTGCACAGATTTCTGCTCTTTCACATCACCATTGTGATTGGCGACTGAAAGACAAAAGAAGCCAAAACACCACCTGGAATGGAGCTGAAAGAGATGTAGGAGCAGATATCTCCATCTGTATTCCCGTGGATGCGTAAATCAGGAAGGCAGCTGGGGTGTGTGCTCTGTGCCACTGCATCTCAGGAAACCCTGATGTCCATTTCCACATCAGCCAGCTCACCTCAAAGCCTGAGGTTTCCTCATCCTCAGGCCAGTTACACTGCTGTGAAACTCCAGAAACAGGGTGAGCAAAAGGAGCCCAAGAAGAATAGAAGGAAAAATGAGACTTTTCTCAGGCTTATGCAGAAGGTAAATTATGGGGCTACTTACACCACCTAAAATCGCTTTCTCCCCAGAGGCCTGAATGTGCTCTATTACAAAAGCTGTGTATGGGATTGTAAATTTGCCATATACACTACAGGGTAATTGTACCAGACTCAACTATGTTGTATTTTTTTTGCCTATAAATGTAATGGTGATTTGTCTCCTCTTTTTACACGCGTTTCAGAATCTCCAGGGAAGCACCTTCCACCATTTAATCCAGATAAAGAGAAAAGTCTTTTGTTGAGCATGCCTTCCCATACACAATACACAACACACAACAGGAGTTAGTTACACCTTCCCATATTAATGGACGCACTCCTGTGCAGAGCACCTCAGCATCCTCGGTAGGAATCACACATTGACAGTGTTTCATGCCCTGAGCAACATACTTTTGTATTGATGCAAAGCGCCGTGCACTGAAGGGAAGGTGGCAGCTTTCCAAGTGGCCCCAGTTAATAGCTCTGTTTTGCTTAATGGTGCCTCCCATTCAGACTAAAGATGCTGTTTTAAATATGTAAGCAATTAGTATCTCTCTCTCTCAACACATCTGTGCTTCTTCTATCTGCTGCATTATAAATCCACCGCGTCCCTCTCCAGTTCGCTGGTGTGTGTATCGCCAGATATTGCCATTATCAGCAGCTTTCTGGTCTGAAGGGATTATGCTTGCATTTGGAGACTCTCGGCCAGGCTGGCCTTGACTCACCCCAGCACAGCGGGATGCTCCTCTCCAAGGTTGGCCCTAGACTAAGATAACAGGGGTATGACCTCTTAGTCTTTTTTGGCTGTTCTTGAATCCAGCCCATCCCTTTCTCCTTCTCAACTTTTCTCCACTTTCATCTACCTTTCTGGTTAGAAAATGAAGCCTTTTCTCTCCATGACAAAGCCTGCAGGAGGCTGCTAGCGAGGCTGTGAGCGTGGCAGAGACGCATCCCAGTGTTTCAATAGCAGAGCCCCTGGTGCACCTAGGGCTCAAATAAATCCTGCCTGTTCAAACTCCAGTGAGATTTAAAGAGATGTGGCCAGACCGGTATGGATGTCATGGTCTGCATTTATAGTAGTGCAAAGAATTATTGTTACTGAAATAGGAATTAATAGTGATAGAGGTAATTAATGGTGATTGATAGACATAGTGATCATCATCTCCTTTTACAGTGTTTTCCATCCCAAAAGGTCTGCTTTACTGTGCGCACCTTTCAAGGGAGGACAAGGTGCCACCACCACCACCGCGAGCAGCAGTTGGCTTTGTCTGATTTATGACAGTTTTCATCCTTTCGGTGGGAAACCTCCCCCAAACCCCCCACCCTGACCCCGCCGCAAGGGGAGGGGATGCTCCGCGGCCGCGCAGCCGGCAGGTCCCGAGCATCCCCCGTGTGTCCCCTCGGGGGGACACGCCGCAAACTTTGTCTGCGGGGGGCGGCGAGGGCAGAGCCCGCCCCGAGCCCCCTCCCCGCGCCGGGCGGGGCGGGACGGGAGCTCCGCGGGCGCCGGGGGGCGGAGCGGCCCCGCCGGGCGGCGGCGGCGGCGGCGGCGCTGAGCCGGGACGCGGCTCCGCGCTCCGCACCCCGCGGAGCGGCCCGGCTCAGCCCAGCCCAGCCCAGCCCGGGAGCCATGCCGCTGCCGTGCCGGGGCTGGACGCTGGCGCTGCTCACGCTGCTGGTGGGGTTCCTCATCTTCGCCGATATCTCTGAGATCGAGGAGGAGAGCGGGTAAATAAATACCCCCTTCCCCGGCGCGGAGGGGGGCGGAAGGGCGCTGAGGAGAGGGGTGCTGGAGGCGGCGGCGGCGGGGAGGCAGCAGTGGCGGTGGTATCGGCGGCGGTGGTGGAGGAGAAGAAGGGGGCGGGCGCCCGGACAGTTTCTTTGTCTCTGGCTCTCCCGGTTCTTGCCGTGCCGAAGTGGGAAGGAGCTCGCTCCGCTCCTGCGTAGTGCCGCGGAGCCGGCGCAGCCCCGGGCGGGACCGCCCCGCCGCCGGGCAGGACGGGGCGCGGGGCCGCGGTCCGGGCAAGGGTGCGGGAGCTGGTACCGGTCCCGTTAGAGACGCTGAGGTGCCGGTCCGGGTAGGGGTGCTCCATAAGGTGCAGGTCTGGGTAGGGATGCTGGAGCGGGTACCAGTCTAAAGGGATATTGGAGCAAATACTGGTCTGGAGAGAGGGGTGTGGGCTCTGGCAGTGCTGCTGGGCTGATGGAGCTGTTCTTTAAGCGGGATGTCTGCAGGCAGTTTGCTGGCCGCGGCTGGTGGGGCAAGTTGCAGCCCAAAATGTTGGGTGCTGGTCCAGCTGGGCGTGGTGGAGAGGACACAACCCCGCAGGGGTGATAGATGAAGGACCAGCCTTAAGGATGGTGGAGCAAGGACCTGTCCGCGGGATAGGAGAGGGTGAGCAGGGACCAGTTGGATGGTGGTGATGGAGCAGGGTGAGAGAGCTCAATCCATGGGCTGCATCTGGGGCTTTGTGATTACCCCTTCCTGATCACTTCCATGGTGGGTGTTTACCTGCAAGTGCCCTCTATGGCAGGGGCTAATGCAGCCCCTAAGTCTGAGAAGGTAAACAACACCCTCCATACTCCATAAACCACATCTCTGAAGGCTGCTGGAAACTTAGGGGATGACAGGAGCAAATGCAGAGATTAGGGTTTGCATTAACTTGAGGAACTCACTACAGCAGTGTGGGAAAACAAATCAGGTCATTTTAGAAATGTGGGGTGCACTCGTGCACAAATGGCACAAGGGCTTTCTGTGGCATTGTCCACTGTGTTACAGCAAAACAAACACCTGCCTGAAATCGTAAGTGAAATGCAGTGATGTTTGTCATTGTTTCATTGTTATAATATATTGGGTGCTGCAGGCAAGAAGTGCTTAAAGGTCAGGAGCCGTGTCCAGAAACATCCAGCACTGGGCTGTAGGTTACCAGGCTGGATGAATTGTTGCTCTGCAATGAGCTGGCACTATCTATATAATAATAAAGGAAATGAAAAGCTTCCCAGGCTTCCTCCCCCATCGGACAGGCTGCTCCGATCCCTTTGCTTTCCTCCCATCTTCTTTTCTGGCTTCTGTTCTTCTGTCTCCTTGCCTATCTGCTAGATCTGCCTGCTAGAACTTGCTGTGCCCTTATTGGAAATCTATTCTGTTTTACTTACTTGTCCTGTTTTTCACCCTGGTTCATTAGGGATTCCCAGTGTTGTGGGTGTACTGGAAATTGAATGTTTGCTGGTTGCTTATCTCCAAGTCCTCGTATCTGAGTTTGTTGCTGTAGTTTCTCCAAGGGAGTACTGCCAAGCTGTGCCGTGGCAGAGATGGCAACAGGGTCAGATGAGTTCTGTAGAAACAACAAGCAGCTTGTTTCATACAGCATTCCAGCATGCACGAGGTAACTGGAAAGGAGAGAAGCAGTCTACACCCCAGGTTGTAAAGGTCCTGTGCTTTCAATACCAGGAAGCACAGAGCAGAGACGGGACCCTGCTACATCAAGAAGCAATCATGAAGTAGGACAAACTGACCCTTTCTCTTGGTTTGCCCTGTCTCAAGCTTTTCATTTCCCAATTGGTTCTCGAAAATGGTTCGGGTTTGGTGAGCTCAAACACAAACACAGCAAGGGGCTGAACAATGTTCATCTTACACCTTAAGCTCTTAGCACAGGAGCCCGGCACAAAGAGCACTTCATCTCTGTATGCTGCAGTGGTACCAGGAATGGTCAAGACAGTGCTCTGACCTGGTGGAAGTACATCACTGGGGAGATGTGGAAAAGCCGAGTGCCTCATCTACAGTAGGCCAAGAGATGACAAAGGGTTTTGAACTTTGAGGGCCCCATGATAACAGCATCTTTTGCAGACAGGTCCTGCAGGTAAAGGGGACTGTGTGACAGCAGCAATGCAAAACAGTGTAGAGAAATAGACCCTTACAAAGTTTTCCAGGAGCTCTCTATGTGTCTAGGAGGGTATAACTCCTCTTTGTTAGAGGTGGTTGCGTGGCACCATATATTTGTGCAGCTCTCCCCTAGGTCAGGGATATTTGGATCGTGTAGCTCAGCATCCTCCTCCATACCCCACAGAGCGCCTTGGCTTTGGCCAGCGCAGCCCAAGCCTTAGGAAAAGCAAAGAGCTGGGCAGGCACGAAGGGGGGCTGGGAAACGCAGGCAGGTGCAACTCTTTTCTTCTCTTTCCTTGGCATCCAAACACTCTCTAATTATTGTGAGGAGTGAACAGCTTGCCCACTTTTACACATACCCTGCCCCCTGCCTGCAATTTGGATTGTCTTTGGAAGAATATGCCTCATACGGGTGGGAGCAGGGGGGAACATATTTCTCTCACCTACAGATACTGAGAAATTGCAGGAAGAAAGAACAAAATGGTCATTAGGTATAAAGTAAAAATATAATCTTGCTGGCAAAAGGACAAAAAGACAACCCAAGAAACAAGCTGTTTTCCCAGAAAATAAGTTCCCAGCATCGCAGGTGAAGGGAGGCAGGAGCTAGGGGCGACTGGAGCTGCTCTGCCTGCCAGAGGCTGCTGAGAAAGATGTTTGCTCCATAAGCAGACCAGCTTTGCTCCTCCAGGTATTCCTACACCACCTCTTGCAGCCCAGAGATACTGAAACAAAGAAGTGTCAGGGCAAGGATGAACATTCAGCAGTTTCTTGCTCCCGACGCTGTGTCACTCTCATTACCCTGTCCCTCCCACCCTGCAGCCACCCCTGCCACATCCCTGTCGTCGTGCATATAGATCACCCGTGGACACAGCGCTGATGCTGCGGGATGGCAGCGGGCAGGCAGACACGCTCGTCCCGCTCGCCTTGGCTCGCTCCTCATGCTCACCAGTGTGTGCTGCCGCGGTGAGGTATTGCTGCTATGAACGGTCCTGGCACTTTGTTCCCAAACAACCACCTGGTTCCGGGCTGCTGAACTTTTCCTGCATCCCAGTGGCGCTTACGATTCCCTCCATCGCTCCGGCTCTTTGTTTCCCTGCAAGGAAACAAAAGACACATTCAATGTCTGTCTTGGGGAACACTAATGCAATCGCAGCCATTTCTTCATCCAGGATAGGCGAGCGGGACAGACCTCGCGCTGCACAGGGAGACAAAGGACCCGGCGTTGAGCAGAATAATTATTGCCGGTGACAAGGAGAAAAATTCTGCTCCAGTTTAAAGGGACTCTTTGTTATTATGCGTCGGCTGTAGCGGTTCTGCAGGGGTCCGGCTCTGTCCTGATTGTCTGTAGAGGGAGCTGCTGACCCGCTGCCACCAGGTGACTTCTCAAATTAGCGCCTGAGCCATCTTAGGGAACACTTGACACTTGGTAATGGGTTGGTCTTAGTATGAGCCAACCTTTTCCCTGCTAGCCCAGGCCACATGCCTTTCCATCCTCATCACCAGAGGAATTACATTCTGCCTTTTTTTTAAGCGGTGAATAGGAGCATCTCATATTTCCAGGCTGCCTGGAAGCTTGTCAGTAAATTGCTGCTTTTTCCACGCGTGCCCTTTCCTAATGCCTGCCTCTCGAAGGCTCAGGAATGCCACAGAGAGATTTCGCATCCTTTATGGTGGCTGATGTGCTTGCTGTGAGTGGTCTGTAGCGTGCTGTAGTCATAACGCTTCTTGTCAAGGTTGGTCCAGGGAGTATAAATGTCCTGCTTAGATGTTTCAGGCTGTGATTTACTGCGCTTGACCCAGAGTTAGTCTAAGACTTGCTCTGCACCAGAAGGTTTTGTTGGAAAAGGTGCTGTATTGTACCAACATGCACTTTTTTTGCACTCACACAGCAGGTGCATGCAAGCCAACAATTACTCAGGTTGGTCTGGAGGAGTAGTAGCTCTCTGCAAGGCAGAAGCCCACAGGTACCCTGTAACTATTCATGTAAATGGAGCCAGTGGAGAGGCCTTTGTGTTCGTTTGGTATGGCAGAGGCTCTAACAAAAGCCCCATGATGCATTGGGCTTGAAAATAAAAGCAATGTTGGAGCACTGATTTGAGTAAGAAAATACTTGGTGCTGGCTTTAATTGCACCTCTTCTGACAATAACTTGAGCTCAAGCAGCAGGTGTCAGATAGGCTGCAGAGTTCCCCGTCCTCCCTGTGAAGCACTCCTTCATCTCCTGCAGGGGCAGGGGTGGCTGCCACAAAGATGCATACAAAACCCCTCTGCTCCTGCCTAGGGCAAGCTGAAGGAGATGAATATCCGTAGCTTGTTTCCTTAAGCTTAGCTCTGAGGGAATGGCAGGAGCAGTGCTGCCTGCAGGGAGTTGGTGTCCTGCAGGAGGGCTTGGGAGCAGCAGGATGGAAAGGACTAGCAAACCCCCAAATAATCCAGTGAAACAAAAAGAAAACCCAGCACCATGAGCATAAACAGCCCTTCTAGGGGCTTTACAGTGCAGTTAGTGAAAGCTACTCTTTGGTCCAGTTCTGATTGTCAGCAGCAAGACCCCCAAGGAGGGAATTTCTGAGCTTCCCAGTGAGGAGGGCAGTAGCTGTGACAGGAGGATGCACATCTCTAGCCAGCACTTCTTAGGTGCAGAGTTGCTGAAGCCATTACCAGTTCCCACTCTCAGAGCAATGAAGAAAGCAAAGCAGCTCCCCACAGGGCTTCAAGTTTCCCTTTTGCCCAAGTATGCTTTTTGTTTCCTATCTCTAAGCCCACAAATGCACAATCCCAGTCTGGGAAACCTTCTTTTCTCCCTGGAGAGAGCAAGGAGTTCCAAATGTTGGTCCATTTAGCGAAGG